CAGAGCACTGTAAAGATTAACAGTTTACTCCTAGTACATGGGAATAAAAAGACCTAAAGTCCTTACTAAATAAGCATAGGCTTTGGCTAATAAAAAGTATTAAAGCTCTTTATTTGAAATAGTGAGTGGCTCTGAAAAGAGCCTTTGGGGTTTTGATAGACACAGGAGCTTGCTTACTTGGAGCTGGTGTACTTGGTGACGGCCTTGGTGCCCTCGGACACGGCGTGCTTGGCCAGCTCCCCGGGCAGCAGCAGGCGCACGGCCGTCTGGATCTCCCGCGACGTGATGGTCGAGCGCTTGTTGTAGTGCGCCAGGCGGGACGCCTCGCCGGCGATGCGCTCGAAGATGTCGTTGACGAACGAGTTCATGATGCCCATGGCCTTGGACGAGATGCCCGTGTCGGGGTGCACTTGCTTGAGCACCTTGTACACGTACACCGAGTAGCTCTCCTTGCGGCTGCGCTTGCGCTTCTTGCCGTCCTTCTTCTGCGCCTTGGTCACGGCCTTCTTGGAGCCCTTCTTCGGGGCGGGCGCGGACTTTGCCGGTTCAGGCATGTTGCAAAAACGTTAGCCAAACGTCTAACAATGCAGGATGAATGGCCTGGCTGCGCGACTTTTGTATGGCCTCTATGCAAATAGGGTGTAAGCTATGCAGTTTCTGATTGGATAACGTTGCCCAATAAAAATGCAATACAAATAAGGTGATTTCAAAGCTACAATTTCATTGGTCGTATGTGGAAACCACCGCAAACACTTTCCCCCACACCTTCAGACAGGCTTTCACTTTTAAAAATATTGCAAAGGATTAGTGTCCGTTGAACATTTATTTGTAAAACCTGGTTTTCTTCACACTTTCTAAATCTCTCTCAGATTCTTTGATTCGCAGCGGAAAAGTTCTGATACAGATTGACGATATTAAATTTTTATTATTTTTAGGAAGGAATCACAGATACTACAAAAGAATCCAAATGTTTGCAAATTTTAGTTACTCTTTTGTCCGCTTCTGTCTGGTCAACGTAGGCAATATTAAAAGATTTTTCGGAAACATTAATCCCCAATTCAATAGCTGTGTGATTTTAATGTCTCAAAAACGTTCAAATTCTTAAATAAGATAAGAAGCTGTGGAATATTAATTCTTATATGTTCCCAATCGTAGAGCCAAAGGTGTTGGTTTGGAGTCACAAATTAAGTTATGTGTAAAATTATATGGTGAATAAAGCGGGAAGAACTCCACAGAAAACACAATGCAATGCGACGGGTGATGCAGTTTAGAATGGACATGGTAGCCAATCAGAAAGCCGGACAATTTGCGCGCGTTATTTGAACAATCCGACCAATCAGAAGGACTTGGACTGTATAAATACCGGCGAGAGGAGGAAGATCTTCACTATCAGGCACTCCTCAAGAGTTCCGGTCATGGCTCGTACCAAGCAGACGGCTCGCAAGTCGACGGGCGGGAAGGCGCCCCGCAAGCAGCTGGCCACCAAGGCGGCCCGCAAGAGCGCGCCGGCCACGGGCGGCGTCAAGAAGCCGCACCGCTACCGGCCCGGCACCGTGGCGCTGCGCGAGATCCGCCGCTACCAGAAGTCCACCGAGCTGCTCATCCGCAAGCTGCCGTTCCAGCGGCTGGTGCGCGAGATCGCGCAGGACTTCAAGACCGACCTGCGCTTCCAGAGCTCGGCCGTCATGGCGCTGCAGGAGGCCTGCGAGGCCTACCTGGTGGGGCTCTTCGAGGACACCAACCTCTGCGCCATCCACGCCAAGCGCGTCACCATCATGCCCAAGGACATCCAGCTGGCGCGCCGCATCCGTGGGGAGCGGGCTTAAAGCTCACCTTGCTGGTGTCCCCGACCCTGTCCCTAAAGGCTCTTTTCAGAGCCACCCACAGTGTCAACTAGAAAGTGCTGTTAAACACAGGAAATCTGGTAATTGATACTCATTTAAAATAAGAGAGCGTCTTTGTAATTGTGGCAGTGTAACCTGCGTATTATACTGTACCTGTTCCATTTTAATTACTAATATAGGAAGACTTTTAGGTTTTCCAGAAAAATTAGGTGTATTTTGGCAGTCTGTTACCTCTGACACAACTTGGAAGGTGTAATTAACGCCTTCCCGTGTATTAAATTCAGATGAAATGAATACTTAGGTGTTAATTTATCTGTATGGCTGAATTCTAAAATCGATCGTATCATGAGTACAGTTTATAGTTAACTCATCTTAGCCTTTTTCTTAAGAGGTGCTTAACGATTGTACATGTTATAAGAGGCAGAAGAAAAGAGGGTTCACAGTTCTCTGCTTCAACTATCTTCTTAAGCATGAGATAGTGGCCCCACTAAATTCCCCATAAACATTCAACATATTAGGAATTCAGAGCAAACAACCACTCTGCAGACTCGTGCTTTCTAAGGTCCAAGCCAGACCTTGAAACTAACAATAGAATCTCATTTGCTGGGAATTCTCAAGAGCTAATGTAACAAAGTTCTAGGTGTTTTGCCAGACAAGCTGAAAACAATCCCTGAAGCCATGCAAGATTTGTGGATTCAGCTTTCACAGGCATTTAAGAGCTCTCAGTTTAAAAACTTGGTTAATTTCTAGCCTGGGGACATAAGTAAATACCCAAGTAGTTGAAAACTTTCTCCAGAGAGTGAAAATCCTTACTGAAAGTCCAGGTCAATGAATTGCCATGCCTGCCTGTAACCAAGATTCTGGGCTTCTGCAATTTACTAATCCAACATAGCTGACTTGCTGAAGTCAACCAGAAAACAGAAGGCGGATTTTAGGAAGTTACAACAGGAATGGCTCAATGTAGAATTTGAAACTTGAAGCCCGTTTATAAAAACACTTCCTAAAACTATTTAGAGGAATATTCAGCAACTAGTTATTCCGATACCACCTTTTAGAAAGCTCAGAGAAATGCAGGTAAAACAGAATGTGGTGATGTGTCAAAAACCAGCCCTTGGGTGAACAGGCCTGAAGCTGGGGTGCTGTGAGGATTAAGAAAAGAGAGAAATAAGAGAAAACGCATGGGATGAGAGGGCAACGCGATCTCAGGGGCTGAGAATTGTGACTGTCCTTAGCTTGCTATATTTCTTGCTTTTAACTGGTAAATACCAGGAGAACTACGAACATTTTTTAGTTGGATTAGAGTTTTACATTTCTGAGGTTGTTGGTCAAAATCTAAATATCAACAGGCTTAGCTGAGCATAAACACAAACGTGGTTTTAGTTGAACATAATGAGAAACAGAAATAAAGCACTTCCTTGAAATTCTTGGAGAGCTGCCCAGGGGCCATCACTTAATCTTGGGGTTCCAGCATTCTGGATTCTGGACCCCAACAGTGATGGACGGTGAAACAAAAGTCCAGTACATAAAATTCATAATTTTATTTAGATTACCTTAAAAGAGGAAACCACTATCTTTCAATAACATATATGAAATTAATTCTATTTAGTCACCAATAAAGCAGAAGACAATCCGGATGGAGTTCAAGGAAGGGCTTGATGTTCAGTTTACAAAGGAAAATATACTTAATAATTGCACATTCCATTTGTATCTGTATAAGATTCTGAGAAATGGAAGCACCAGATGGATGACATTAGTGTTTGCTTAAGGACAGAGTAGAGGTGGGTGGGTGCATAATAAAAGTTGTTGATGACAGAACTCTTATATATCAATCGTGTGGTGATACATGGATCTATGTGTAGAATAAAATCCCACAGACATGTGCTAGCAAATGCACATCCAAGCATGTGCATGTGAAAAATGGTGATAGCCGAAAGGGCCTGAACTTTTTTTCCTTTTTTTTTTTTTAATGGTTTTGGGACTACACCTGGCAGTACTCAGAGTTTATTCTTGGTTCTCTGCACTGGAATCATGCCTGGTGGGGTCCAGGGACATAAAAAGTATACTGGGGATCAATGTTGCTTGGTTGCATTCAAGACAACCTCCCTAACAGCTACTGTTATTTTAACCCCAGGCTTGAGCTGTATTTCCTTAATGTTAATTACCTGTTTTCTGTATTGTAAGATTATAGAGTGTCACAACTAGGAACTAGATTGAAGAAACTCTCTGTAATACTGCTACTTTGGATAATCTGGTTGTTTAAAGAAGATGATATAAAACTGTTGTTAGGTATTTTAGTTGTTAATGATACTGCCTGGGTTCCTGTATTTTTATATATGTATACTCATCTCCATAAGGCTCAATTAATATTTTTTTCTCAGACTTTTAAAATGGTTACTTCCTTTGGACTGAGGTTTATTTAGTTCACCTACCTTGGCCCAAGGGTATATGGGCCACATATTTTTTTTTCTATTACTGTCCTTGCATTAAAAGTTATTATACAGGGTTTTTAAAAAAAGTTATTATATAGGTATTTTTAAGAAGATCGCAGGCCTAACTGTAGTTTAGAATCACTTCCAGCCATGCTAAGGAAATTTGTGCAGTGCTGGGGGTCAATCCGGGTCAACAGCATAAAAGGCAAGCAAACTATCTCTCATGCCCCTAAATACTTTTTTGAGGAGTCATTGAGATCGGGATAGATTAAAAAACATGTCCACGGGTTAAGATTAGACACTATGGAATCCAAACTCAAGGTCTGGTTGGGTTACTTGAAAACACATTTATGAATTTCTTCTTGGGGTTTGGGATTGTTAGGATTTCACTATAATTAGTGAAGTAATATATCAAATAGACATATCTATTTGATACAGGTAAGGAATAGACAAATTTTTAAACGCATGTACCTAAACGTGTATTTAAAATCAAATTAATTTTAAGTGCATTTTAATATTTCTTTTACTTACATATTGATGTACTAGAAATGCCAGCAAATCTCCCCGCCCACTCTGTCATTTAAGCAGAGGGCGGGGACTCATGCAGTTTCCCGCCGTTTCCTGGCTTCTGGTTCTCAACAAGGTCCGCAAGGACTGTATATATGGGACCTGCGGGAACGCTTAGCTCACTTTCAATTTCCTGCGTGCAGCTCTAAATTTCAAAGAGATGTCTGGTCGTGGTAAAGGCGGGAAAGGCCTGGGCAAAGGCGGCGCCAAGCGCCACCGCAAGGTGCTGCGCGACAACATCCAGGGCATCACCAAGCCCGCCATCCGCCGCCTGGCCCGGCGCGGCGGCGTCAAGCGCATCTCGGGGCTCATCTACGAGGAGACCCGCGGGGTGCTCAAGGTCTTCCTGGAGAACGTCATCCGCGACGCCGTCACCTACACCGAGCACGCCAAGCGCAAGACCGTCACGGCCATGGACGTGGTCTACGCGCTCAAGCGCCAGGGCCGCACCCTCTACGGCTTCGGAGGCTAAACTTTAAAACAATAAACAAGTTCATACTTAAAGGCTCTTTTTAGAGCCACCCATTTTTTCTGCAAAAGAGCTCGCACTTAACGTTTCTGCACCTGTTTCCTTAGTGCAGTGCTCATTAGGACACTTAGGTACAAGAATAGTGCGCGGTTGCTATTAGCAAATTTAAGTTATTATATAGGTATTTTTAAGAAGATCGCAGGCCTAACTGTAGTTTAGAATCACTTCCAGCCATGCTAAGGAAATTTGTGCAGTGCTGGGGGTCAATCCGTCTTTGGTGTATGTCCCCAATGGCACTTTGATTTTTAAATGTAGCACGTGCCTTCATTTTGGTCAAATGCAAGGATTATGTTAATAAAAGGTGGATAGAAAGGAGAACGAAAACAGCACAAGGTGGTCCTGTCAACACCAGCAAAAGAGAAAAACCCAAATACAGAATTGAAATTTGTATTTTTTTGAAATTATTTAAAACTCGTCAGAGAAAGCTTGACCCAAAGGAGGTCACTATAGTGTACTAAGGTTAACTGTTCTGCATTTAAAGACACGAAATGGGTTATCATTGTTTACAATTATCTTAAGGAGTAGATCTTAAAATGCTTAGCGGTAGTTTAATATCTGTAGCATTAAACGGTTCGCCATAATTAGATACACACAAAAATTGTGGTTTATCTCTTTAATTCAGGTTGTGGATACGAAGGTGGGTAACCAAATTTGTTTGGTTTCAGTATTTTTATAATGCAACGTGTAAATAACCTCTACCCTTTTATAAAGTTCGAATTGATCTACAAAGGAGCCCAGCCGCCTACGTCTTGGGTTCCCTGGCCCACGGCGCCACTTAGCGGCCACCAAATCTGATTAACTCAAAGTCTGCTGTATACAAATATGCAAAATGTACGTTTCCTTTCGGAGCTACTTAGGTCAGCTTTGCAGAGAGTGCCTACGATGTTAGGGTCGAAATATCACCTAGCACTCAGGTCTTGGGAACGAAATGCCAATTTTAGTGATGGCAATAAGAGGGAGACCGTGTGAAAACACTTGTAAGGAAAAACATCACTAAATCGAAACCTGTGTCCACCTCTTTATGTGAATTGATGGGTGGCCCTGAGAAGGGCCTTTTTGGGGAAAATTGGGCCTTGGAGTTCGATGGCACTTAGCCGCCGAAGCCGTAGAGAGTGCGGCCCTGGCGCTTGAGCGCGTAGACCACGTCCATGGCCGTGACGGTCTTGCGCTTGGCGTGCTCGGTGTAGGTGACGGCGTCGCGGATGACGTTCTCCAGGAAGACCTTGAGCACCCCGCGGGTCTCCTCGTAGATGAGCCCCGAGATGCGCTTGACGCCGCCGCGCCGGGCCAGGCGGCGGATAGCGGGCTTGGTGATGCCCTGGATGTTGTCGCGCAGCACCTTGCGGTGGCGCTTGGCGCCGCCCTTGCCCAGGCCCTTCCCGCCTTTGCCGCGTCCGGACATGATGAAGCAGCACCGGAGTAAAGTTCCAGTGCCCTTGTGCTGCCTGCAGTCTCTTAAATATCTGCTCTGCGGACCTTTTAGGGGACTGAAGTGGCGGGGGCGGGAAGGCACCCTGGCCCGCCTTGCTGGGCGGTGCCCTGCGGCTAATCTAGCCAGGGGCGGGGAAAGTCCTTTCTTGCATCTTTTGTTTTCTTTCAGGAATTCTGCTTTTCCCTTTCTGCTGCTCCCGCTCTTGGGAGTATTGCAAATCGTTGCTTATTTTCGAACAAATCTCATAATGACTTTTGTTATTTTTAAAAATGCAATTATGCTATGCCAATTCATCTGCACAAGGGACTGGTTCTAGAATATTGTTCTTTTGGAAATGTGATATTCATGAAAAAATTTTTGTAGGGCTCAAACAATACCTATTAAATTTTGGCCGATCATGAATGTTCTTTCAGAAGAGCACACATATCTATACCGTTTCCAGCAGATATGATTAATAGTACGTTGTAGGGGAAAGGGATTCAGCTTTAATATTGAGTTACTGCTCTGCTTTTAAAACTATCAGTGAGTGTCAGGTTTAAATATAGTCTTAATAAGTTGCATCACTGGTATTTAGACTGAATTACAGGACTTTTGCTGACCCTTGACTGATCTACGACAAAAGAATTTTGCAGCATGATAAAATTAAAATGCAGGTGAAAAGAAATAACAAATGGATAAAGGATATTAACTGATGTTCTATCTTTATATAAATTGACAATCTATGTTTATATAAATTGACAATAAATAATTGTTGGCAAATGCCAACATTTTATCGAACTTAACATTCACAGTGAGCTTCTTGTATGAACATAGTTTAAACTAAGATAAAGTTATCTTTACTATATCAGCACTTAGGCGATTTTGTCGAGGTGTAATATTAAACTTAGCTCATATTAAGCTTAGGTTTGCTTGTAAATTTAGGAACAAATCTTTTAGCCCCCCTCTCGCTCTCCCCCTCCCTTTGATGCCACACCTAATGGCTTAGTGCCCTCTTTGAGCTCAGGGATCAATCCTGGAGGTTTGGAGGGGCCCTTTGTGGTGCAAGAGTTTGAATCCTTGTGGGCTGTGTGCAAGGCAAGATTGCAACTTGCTGTACAATTTCTCTGTACTGAGCGTGGCTATTTAACTGTACAGAGATGGGGCATTTCTGTAATTACAAGAAGTTTTCCGGGACTATGTTGGTCCTGACTGGTAAAATGAATGTGATAGTTATTCAAAAATAAGGTTTATTGCAGCCAGAATAATTCGGAGAATTTTGATAGTAATTATAAACGCTTGATTCTATTTTATCTGAGTGTACCAGATGGTATAGGCTCAGAGACATGTCAGAAAAGAAAGACAAATTTCGAAAGTAGTGATGCCCTTTATAGGAAAGAAAAGGCATGAAATATACCTGTGCTCAATGGAAAGTTTTCAGCTGGAGAGTGTCCTCTGGGGTAAGAGGAAATAAATATCGACATGATTTCTTATGGCTCTTTAGGACATGTTTGTTTCCAGTACAATTCCATATATCCTAAATGATGACGCCCCCTGCCCCCGACACCGCCTCTTCTCCCCCACACCTCTCCTGCTATTTACTCAGAATAGTGATTTAGGTCTAAACATTTGAAATTCTCTGTGATCTGTAATTCCTGTACACAAAGGATAGGTAGAGTGATGTAGTGATACTTCTTATTGTTCTCTTAGTCATTGAAGATATTGTAAGGGAAGTTTAAACACAGAGAACTAATGCAATATCACAAATGAGGTCTATATCTACCTGTGGCTTTCCTGTCATATTTTACTTCTATGAAATAAATGGGTCAATTTCTAGCCTGGTAGAAAATTGATTAGAATGTGTACAGGTTTATATCAAAAGTAAAATATTTGGATAAGCTATCTAAGAAAAACTTTTCAAATTTTCAGGGGTGAGCCAATCTTTAAAGACTTCATCCACATCACTTTTACAGACATAAGTTGTTGGTCAACTAATATATGCAACATAACTTCATCCTTTTAAACATATTTTGTGAATTCAGGTTTACACTCCAGGAAGCGTGGGACTTCTTATTAATAGTTAAGGAAATACATGTAGTCAGTTTCGCTTTTTTAGGATCTAAACAGCCATGGAACCCAGGAAGATTTGCGTGAAAATAAAATGATGATGGCATCTGCTATAGAAAGATCTACCTAACTCTAATTATGAAAACCTATGTATTAGAAACAAGTTCAGTAGTTATTTAAAAACTGATAAAATGACTGGAGTGATGGACAAAAATCTTTGATTCATAAAAATTTTGAAAAATCTGCATTTTAATTCTATATATAGGGCTCTACAACGCAAAGCTATAGACTGAAAACTCAAAGGTCCCATAACATGTTGATTACCATTGCATTGCTCATTGAAGATGACAAACACTCCCTTCCTTCAGACACTTGTAAAATGCTGTCGAGGAAAAATTAGAATGATTTAGATATACTTTCAGTCTATCCCTTTATATTTGGTACATAATATTATCTCAAGTCCCAGGCAGGACTTTGTTTTAAATCTCTGATCACCAATAAATGATCATTTAAAAATGTTTGTAGATGTTAGTTTTCATATTTAGTTCTGCAAATAGCTGTTGAAATGGTGTCCAGAGACCTTGATTCCTGGGATGTTAATGTTAAGCCACTTAATTATGTGGATAGATAGAATTGGAGTATTAATAAGAAGATGCTTTTTTAATGGGGTTTAGTTTTAGTATCTACGGTTTTGCTGTAGAATATTAGTGTGATAGTCAGCTAAGCATTATTTATTCTATCTACATGAATTCTCTTGTAAACTAAACGAGATGAAGTTGTATTTGGTCACATTTGACATATAATGTTGGTGCAGCTCCCTTTGATTCTAATGTCCAGAAAATTACTTTAGGTTTTACTGGACCTAGATCACATTTTGTAAGTATGAAACCTGGGATGAGAGGGTTGTAAAAGATAACATAGTGATTTACGTGAGATTTCTTCATTTTTTTCAGAGTCAGGGGAATGAGACCCATTGTAATTACTTCATTTCTAATAAACAGCTATGTCCATACTTGCAACGTTGCAAAATCAAATCTTAAATCATAAGAAATGTATGCAACATTCCACCTAAATGTTGTCAGAGGAATACAGCTATAGGGTGCCTGTCATTACTTACAATATTAAGTGGATGGAATATAACTGGGCTCTGTCATTTCAGTTCATGGCTGACAGAATTTTATAAAACTGTCCTTAGTCACTGACTCATTTTTTTCTCCTTAGATGTAGTTGCTTTGTAATGTCCATTCTGGATCTGTAAAATTCAGCAGTCTGATTTTTAAAAAGAAGTTGGTGACTTTATGCAGAACTGACTATTTAAAAAACTGGATCAGCTTCTCCTGCTCTTTCTTCTTAAAATGTTTTAGTCTCCAAAACATTGATATGCATCCCAACTTATATACTGATCACTCAAATACTTCTGAAAAACCAACCTTCTTTTCTTAAATTCTTATCCATCTTGTGATAGAATTTTCTTCCCCCAGTGCCAATTCCTACTGCTTGTTGCAAAGAACTTGAGAGAGAGCCTGTGTTATTGCTCTCGCGAAAAAACCGATTTTAAATGTAAATTGGGGGAAAGATGAGTTCCTTTTAGTGAAACTGCAAAGAGTAGACACTGCGGAACAAAGTCCCGCAGGGCTGATTTGCAAAGGACAGAAGGAGAAATAGCATTTTTAAGGAAAATCTGAAAGTTGTCTCAAATGGACCGAAGTTTGCAAGAGAGTTGGGGGAATCAGGAAAGCCCCAGGGCGCCGGTGTTGACACTAGAAGTCGCAAAGAAGGCAGGCATGAAGCCTGAAGACTTTCTGATCCGGTTCCCCCAAATCTCTCATTATTTCGTGCCCGGATTTCGGATATTTTTCTTCTTTTTTAAGGGGCAAGAAACACAACCACGCGGCCGAGCGGAGGAGCCGTCCCCGGCAGCGCGGCGCAGGGCGCAGGCAGCCAATCATCACGCAGCGACTCTCTATATAAAGCCCGGCCCCCGGCGCCCGGGACGCGACGCTCTGACAGTTTAAGCTCACTTTTTGGCTCTCCTGCCAGGCAGAAAAATGTCCGAGACGGCTCCCGTGGCTCCTGCGGCTCCCGCACCTGCGGAGAAGACCCCCGTCAAGAAGAAGGCGAAGAAAGCCGGCGCCGGGGCCGGCAAGCGCAAGGCGTCCGGACCCCCGGTGTCCGAGCTCATCACCAAGGCGGTGGCCGCGTCCAAGGAGCGCAGCGGCGTGTCCCTGGCCGCGCTCAAGAAGGCGCTGGCGGCCGCCGGCTACGACGTGGAGAAGAACAACAGCCGCATCAAGCTGGGGCTCAAGAGCCTGGTGAGCAAGGGCACCCTGGTGCAGACCAAGGGCACCGGCGCCTCGGGCTCCTTCAAGCTCAACAAGAAGGCGGCCTCCGGGGACGCCAAGCCCAAGGCCAAGAAGGCTGGTGCCGCCAAGGCCAAGAAGCCCGCCGGCGCGGCCAAGAAGCCCAAGAAGGCCTCGGGCTCCGCCACCCCCAAGAAGGCCGCCAAGAAGACGCCGAAGAAGGCCAAGAAGCCGGCGGCTGCAGCGGGGGCCAAGAAAGTGGCCAAGAGCCCGAAGAAAGTGAAGGCCGCCAAGCCCAAGAAGGCGGCCAAGAGCCCGGCCAAGGCCAAGGCGCCCAAGCCCAAGGCCGCCAAACCCAAGGCGGCCAAGCCCAAAACCACGAAGGCGAAGAAGGCGGCGCCCAAGAGAAAGTAAAGTGGCAGCAGGGTCTCCTGCTTGCAAAAATCTCAAAAGGCTCTTTTCAGAGCCACCCACTAAACTCAGGCGAAAGAGCTTAACGCTAACGTAGCTGGAGCTGCTAGCACGTCTACGCAGAGTTGGGTTTGAGATTGCCGCGGGCTTTCGTGATTGGCCCGTCGTACGCGCGCGCGCACTGTCATTTAGTAAAAATTCGTGTTTTCATTGTCTCCCGAATAGTGCAGGCGGGCACTGGGTGGTTCTTTTGCGTATTTTGGTTTTAGCACAGTCAGGCTACTGGCAGGACCCACAACCTCCAGCCGCTGTTTTTTGCTTGGCACTGCGGGTGGTCAGCGGCTGGTGGTGCCGCGTTTTGTATATTTCTTTCGGGCCACTTTCACCACCCTAGCCTCCAGGTCGGCTCTTACTCCGGCAATTCTGCCAGGGTAAGGCGCCTTGGGCTTGGCACCCGATCGCGTTTCGGCGGCGGCAGTGCAGTTGGTTCACGGGACACTGAGCGGGCTTTGCCTTTGGCGCGAATCTGGTCGGCCGGTTTTCCGCGCCCCCACGTTTCTGAAGACTTGACCAGCCAGTGTGGGGCAGCGGGACTTCCTAACGTGTCAGCATATTTTCTTTCACTTGTGCTCTCCCATTGGCTTGCAGAGGCTCTCCAGCGTTGGCCAATCGGAACTTAACTCTGGTTTATTTGCATAGGCTCCAGGGAGAAAATACAGCACCAAGGACACGTTGGGTTATTAACTGTGTTTTGTACTTAACTGTCAACGCGTAAAGCTTTTCCTCTCGCCGCCCCATCCACGGAATTTGCTTTTTTAATTTATCCACGCGAATGCCATACTGCCTTACCGCTGCGTAATTGTTATTAAAAATACGTCTCGAAGGCACCTTTGTCGGGTTTTGATGCCATCTTTCCCAGATTGCCCACAAATCATTGAAAGGGCTCAGGAAGTCGCGTTTAGTTGTCTGATATCTCCTTAGAGGGCTAAAAGACTGCCCGGAGGAGGAAACAAAAGGAAGAATCACTGGGAAGGTGGCTAGGTTTTTTTAATTCCTGGGGATGGGGCTGTGCTGAGCAAAGTGGATTCAGAAGATGGGTTGACTGACTTGGATGCATCTTCATTCATTCTAAAGCTAAGGGTTACTCTTACTGTTGTTATTATTGTTCGTCTTTGGGCCACATCCGGAAATGCTCAGGGGTTACAGCTCTGCATTCAGGAGTTTCTCCTGGCGTTTCTTGAGGGACCATATGGGATGCCAGCGATGAAACTGGGGTCAGTCACTGTCAAGGCAAACGCTCTACCCCTGTGTACTATCGTTCTGGCCATAATATATATATATATATATATATATATATATATATATATATAAAACCTGTTGTAGATTTTTTTTGTACTACTGAATATTGTTAAGTTTCCCTAAAACAAAGTTTACACTGGAGAGTCAGGAAAGTGACATTTCAGAAACATTACAACTGATAAAGCACATACCTTGCTCCAGGCTAATTGAGTTAGATTGCTGGAACAAGGTAATTTCTAACATGCCACGATCCCTCACCCCTGAGTTCAGAGTTTGTGTTCCCTAACAACCCCTAACCCCAGTCCAGCCTGAAGAAATCTCTGAGCAGATCAGGTAAGGGCCTTGCCTTAGATGTGGCTGACCCAGTCTATGTGATCCAGAAGTCCCCAAACAAAACAAAACAAAACAAAACAAAACAAAACAGAAAAGCACCCCCCTTCCCCCAAGAAATCCCCAAACAGGCAAACACCAATAAAAACATCTTTTTGAGTAAGTGTCTGTAGGTGCATGTGTTGTCTGAGGTGCTTGTGAATCCCTGAGCCAATCTTCAGTGGGCCATTATTATTTAGACAGTTTGTTGTTATATTTGTTTGTGAGCCACATCCGGCAACGCTCAGGGGCTACTCCTGGCGCTGCACTCAGGAATTACCCACAGATAGGGTCTGAAGGAAAAACAAAGAAGAAATAAGGCAAAGAACAGGAATGACCCAGTTCACCTGGTCAGCAATTTGTAGGCCTGCGTGTGGAATTCCAATGTCATTTTCCCTATGTTTTCTGCTCCGTGATTCCTTACCTACTGTTTCATTATTAAATCAGCCACAAACAGAATCCGACTGTACCACTCTGGGTTCTTCAGATGCCAGAGACATAAACAAAGAGGCCAACTGACAAAAATAAAAATAAGGACAAATAGATTGATGACATGCATAGTCATGTACAAAGATTCAGTAAAGGAACTGAACCACATAATCCTTGATGCCATCTTGAATTAAGGCAGACACTGGGAAGGAAAAAGAAGGTTGGATCGACAAAGAAGTATAGCGATTTATATTCAGCGCTTCCCAGTAGACCCCGACATTCTTTCTTTTTCTTGTTTTATGAGGCCACAGCCAGTGGCATTCAGTGCTCAAGAATCAAATTAGGCCTCCTGCATGCGAAGCTTATGCTCAGTTTCTGTCCCTGTCCCCTTCCCAAAGACACATTTTATTTTATTTATTTATTTATTTATTTATTTATTTGCTTCTTGGGTCACACCTGGCGATGCTCAAGGGTCACTCCTGGCTCTGTACTCAGCAATCATTCCTGGCGTGCTCAGGGGACCAGATGGGATGCTGGGAATTGAACCTGAGTTGGTTGTGTGCAAGGCAAATGCCCTACCCACTGTGCTATCGCTCCAACCCCCCAAAGACACATTTTAAAGAGCGTCTTCATGCATGCCCACTGTGAGTTGTCCAAGTCAGAAAACATTTGGGATGCATCACAGGAAATTATACATGATTCTATAGGTGACCTGTTTTCACGTTGGTTTAGGAGAATTATTTTTATTCCTTTTGAGAAGGGCACATGAGGTGCTTTTCAATGGATACAACCCAGACTTCCCAAACACAAAGTCAGAGCACTACGCTTGTTGAATTATCATCCCAGTCACAATATTTCTTTTCCTTGAATGGTGCTATTTTTTAAAAGATTCAGCTTGTCAATATCTTTCTCTGACTCCCAAAGCTTTTGTTCAAGTTTATGTATTTATGTTTGGCAGTTCCAGTGATTGAACCCAGTGTTCCTACACAAAGTAAGTGCTTTGTCACTGATCTACATCCCAGAATCTTTAAATGAGCATCACACACACGTCAATCTTTAAATGAGCATCACACATATATATAGGCTGGAGCGATAGCACAGTGGGTAGGGTGTTTGCCTTGCATGCCGCCGACCCGACCGATCGGAGTTTGATTCCTCCGCCCCTCTCAGAGAGCCTGGCAAGCTACCTAGAGAATCTCTCTCCCCCGCACGGCAAAGCCTGGCAAACTACCCGTGACGTATTCGATATGCCAAACACAGTAACAAGTCTCACAATGGAGACGTTACTGGGCCCGCTCAAGCAAATCAATGAACAACGGGAAGACAGTGCTACACACACACACACACACACACACACACACACACACACACATCAATTTGCTTGAGCAGGCACCAGTAATGTCTCACAACAAATTGTGAAACTTGTTGTTACTGTGTTTGACATATCGAATTCGTCACGGGTAGCTTGCCAGGCTTTGCCATGCGGGTGAGATACTCTCGGTAGCTTGCCAGGCTCTCCGAGAGGGGCTGGAGAATTGGACCTGGGTCAGCCGCATGCAAGGCAAATGCTCTATTCTCCAGCCCACATATATATATATAGGTATATATATATTCATATATATGCCTTTTTATAATTGGAACTCACTAAAAAAAATTGAATCATAGTGACATACACTTTTTTTTTTTTTGCTTTTTGGGTCATACCCAGCGATGCACAGAGGTTACTCCTGGCTCTGCACTCAGAAATCAGCCCTAGCAGTGCTCAGGGGACCATATGGGATGCTGGGAATCGAACCCGGGTTGACTGTGTGCAAGGCAAATGTCCTACTCACTGTGCTATTGCTCCAGCCCCAACCATTTTCAAAGCTGTTCTTGATTGGATTTCTGTTATATAATGTTCCAACTGCCGACCCTTCACCAGTGTATTTTTCCCACCACCAATGGTCCCAATTTCCCTCCCACACTCCTGCCACTATGACAGGCACCTCTCTCTCTCTCTCTCTCTCTCTCTCTCTCTCTCTCTCTCTCTCTCTCTCTCTCTCTCTCTTCCCTCTCTCTCTCTCTCTCTTCTTGTGGGCCTCTGGTTTGCAATACATATAATGAAAGGTTATCGATAGATACATATTATTTTGGGGGGCGTTCATTTTGGGCCACAGCCAGTGATCTTCAAGGGTTACTCCCGGCTCTGTGCTCAGAATATACTCCTGGTGTGCTTGTTGAACCATATGGGATGCTGAGGATCAAACCCATGTTGTCTGCGTGCAAGGCAAATGCCCTGCCTGCTGTACGATTGCTACAGCTCCAACATCCTGGATATTTGAAGGAAAGTATATTCTGCTGCAGGAAGATGAGAGCAGGGGACTGGAGAATGAGTGCACTGGGTAGAATGTTTGCCTTGTACCTCCCTACCCTCCCACCCGGGTTTGATCCCTGGTGCCATATATAGTTTTCTAAACCCTAACAGGAGTGATCTCTGAGTACAGAGCCAGGAGTAAGTTCTGAGCACAGCTGGGTTAGCCCCCAAACTAACAACACTTCTCTGGCCCCCCTCCCTGCCCCTACCCCTCACCAATAGGTGGGAACATGAAGTTCATTCCTTTGCCTGTATTTCATCACTAGTGTGGGCAGAAAATTCTTCCCACAAACCCCCTACTTTCTTCAATCTGGATCTTATAACTAATCAAAACAGCAGTAGACAGAGGCCAGAGATAGTCCAGTAAGGTACGCGGGGCATTTCTGTCCCAGGTTCTATTCCTGACACTCTGTTTGGTTTCCTGGGCACCACCTGGAATAATTCCTGTCTGGAGTAACCTCTGAGCATCTCCAGATGTGGTCCAAAAACAACAACAATAAAAAAAAAACAGCATTAGACATCTTAGGAAAAGAAGCCTCAGTTTACTAAAGTCCACTTGAGCATTTACATGACAGTAAATTCTATACAGAAAAGGGGCTCTTGTTCAAGGAGCCTGGGAGGATGAGACTCCCCAGGACAATAGGGCGATTTCCTCATGGCTCTGAGAATGAAGATGTACTTTCAGAGAGAGTACGTTTCTCTTGATAAAGACACACTTATT